TCAGGCAACCTGACTGACTGCAGCACCAAACACAGAAAGTGAGGAAAATAGCTAGAAACAGTGTAGTGACTTCCAGCTTCATTAACAAGCTCAGCTTTTTGTTAAGGCAGAATTTTAATAAAGAAAGCAGGCTACAGAGGCTTTTTATAACACACACATTTTCAAGGTATTAGGAGGCATTTGGCTCCTAATACTCCTCATTTAAGTGTGTTGTACATTACTTGTGGGTTGCAAGGCAAAACTAGTTCCCTGCACTGTAGCTAGTTTCCTTTCTAGTTTTGAACTATAAAAATAGCCATATTATAAGAGCAAAGGTCCAGCTCTCTTTCTTTTTATCAGGAGTAGCCAGAATAGGGCCACAAAAAAAAAAAAAAAGAAAAAAAGAAAAAGAAAAGCTGCACAGGGGGTGGGTGTGGGGAGGAAAAGCAGTGAAATAAAGTACAGGCAGTCTTTTCCCTTCTTATACCCTGTGCAGTTGTTAAAGATCTCCTGATCCAGAGGTTGCATCCAGGCCATCACTTTTAACAAGAATTTATCTGTCCTTCATCGATTTTTCAATCTGTTTAGATTTCTGCTATCCATAACACCCTTTGGCAATGCGTTTCACATGGTAACTCCTGCTTGACAGAGACTCCTCTTTGCCTGCTTTGAATCAATTTAGTTAGCACAAGAACCATGAAGAATCACTCCCCACTCCCCTTCCCCACCCCATTCGTGACAGCATAAAACATCTGCAATTTCTGTAATAAGTCATCTCTTCTCTATGGCAAAGACAGCAATCCCATTGACTGACTTGACACCCATCTTTGGTGGTCTCCTCTGGACCTTCCCTCGCCCTCCACTACCTTCAAGAGGTGGTAATCAGAACTGCATAGCGTTTAAGATACTGGCACAGCGTTGATTTACATAGCAGCATACTGATGGTTTCTGTTTGGTTTACCAGCTTGGGTAAACATCCAGAGAGTTTGTTGATTCTTGAGGGAGTGTAGCATTTCCTCCCAGTTGGCCATTAGTCTCTCTGCAAGAACTTTTTGGGGACTGACTTCAGATAGTGCTCTTAAGTAGTCTGCTGAGGCAACAGGTGAAATTTTTCATCTCCCAACTGCTGCCACAGATCTCTCAATTTTTTTTTTTACCCAATTCAAGGTAGTCAAACTCACAGCTTTCAAATCCCTGCCATTTCCCCCTGCAAAGTCTTCCCAAGAGCATGTCCCACAAGCCAGAGAAGCAGAAAGTACATGGTTCTCCCCAACAAGTCAGGAGAAGTACTGTTGCATTAAAATCTATACCGACCAACCAAGAAAACTTTCTCAAGCCTATACCAGCAAATATCCCAGTCTTAAGAAATTTTCCAGGCGTCCCCATATAACGAGTGACTGTCCTGAAGGATCAGTCAGACTCATCACTGTGAGGCACAATTCGCTACCCTGCCTCACGAGCCCCTGCTAATCCCAGGAGACACACTTCTCCAAATATAGCTGCTCCATGTAATTGGTTGGCTTATCTCCCCTCCCTTAGCTGAACTACCATGATTCCAAAAGCTTTTAAAATTAAAGACAGATATGTTTGCAGATTAAAATAAATCTACCTGGGTAATGCTTTGTGCATCACTTGTTCGTAACAGCACTGGCAGCCACAGTGCTCAGCTGCAGTTTCTCTGTGCTTCTTAGTAGCAGCTCACATACTGCCAAATTAGCAAATGCTGGCAGACATCAGAGAAGTTTGTTTGAACCCAATTTCATATTTTCTGGGAAGCAGTTGTAATGCACCATAAGAAAGATAACATGAAACAAAGTTAGGAGCTGAAACACTGCATCTCAGCACACCTGACCAGAAAACTGAGCAGGTAATTTGAGCAAACAGAGACTCCTGTGAATATATGTTTAACAAAAGTAGCCCAAGACAGCTTACCAAATCAACAGCACAGACACATTTTACTTTCATAGTTACAAACCTCTGAATTTGAATGAGCAAACTATAGAAATAAGAACCTTTGTACATCAACAAAACTACTACTACCCACGAGCATAAGATGGCATGCAAAAGCTCGGCGAATAACGTAAGCCAGTTCGGCATACTGAAATCTAAACCTTCCTTCTGGATATCTCATTTTCTGAACATTTTGCATACAGTGCCTGCAAAAATAACACTGGGTGTGTTCAGTCCTGGGGAGAAGAGTCCCTTTCCTTCTGCTTCCTAAGGAAACTCATATGGGATAGAACATCACTTTTACTCAATAAGATGAGAAACTCCACCAAATCCCTTGCTGGAGCTCTGACATAAAGACAATTCAGAAAAATCAGCCGGAGACCTGCCCACACCCATCACCATTACTTTCCAAGACTGGAATGAGAAAAAGTTGCGTTTAAGATTTGCATTCAGCCTCAAATGTTAGTCACCTCAATTCTCTCTTTTGAAATATACACACAATATATACACACACCCCGCATATTTATACACACACATATATAAATCACTTCTGGTATTTCTTCTGAAATCCCTAGTCTGACTGTTCTTGAAGTGCTGAATCTAACAGATGGCTTCCCCAGATATTTTACCCCCTGTATTATAAAATGCTGCCATCCAACGAGGGATCAGAACCAGCTAAGAGCCTGAATATGGAAAACACAGCAGTCTGCTCATGATGAGCAGAAAAATTATCATTGTAACACAGTTTACAAAAAGTGTCTTAAACACTATTACAAGAAAGTGGCAATCTGTTCAGAGCTATGCCAGGCAGGAAAAAAAATTTGAGTCACAGGGCTAGTTACTTGCTGCTGTCCAGGAAGGCGTGCACAAACAGGTAAGGAATCAGTTAGTGTCTCCTGCTGCACACTGGACTCCTGTTCAGGCCTTGAGCTGCAAAACATCAGCATGTACTGCTTGGTCACATCCCCTTTCTTTGGTAACCAATTGAGAACCTGTTACTTAGCTTTAGCATGAGCCAAGAAAATGCATTTCTTCTTTGTCTAAAAACATCTAGTTCCAGCTGAACTGGTTTTAGAGAAGATTTAGCTGAGAAGAATGAGGATGCCCTCCTTGAGTTAGATGTTCTGGCTGCTTGTGGGCATAGCTCTCTCAGCAGGACTGGACAATTGATAATGTTATAGTAGAAAATGCATTTCAGCTCAGTTCTGTTAATCTGGTCCTCTCCCAGATGAAACTAGAGAATCTTTGTACACCTGGTATCCCCTGCATTTATCCTGCCATTGTTCCGGAAGCAGAACTATTACTGGTGAGGAAAAGTTACCCGTAGTAAGGGAATGGGCTCTTCTTCTAGGCCACATAAAGAGGACAATGGGAGAATTTACTTTGCAGCTTGAGAAGACTACTTATCATCTAGGACATTTGCATGAAACAGCTTCCTCAGCTCTTGGTTTAATGAATAAAGGAATCAAATCTTTCAATGCATATTGCAAGTAACCACAAAGATTTGCCATCTGGAACAGCTATACATGGCGCTCTCTTCATACCCGTCGTCCACAAGTAAACATTTCTCAAGTGATCATCTGGGAGATGAAAGTGGGCAGAGCTCAATGCCTAGCCAAGTTGACTCTTCAAGGAAAAATTTGAACAACACAATGCTGAAAGTCTTGGAGATACTTTGTAGTCGCTTCACTATGTTCAGTTTTTCCTCAGACCAATGTTCTTAAGATTTTCTAGAAAGCTGGTCATTTTCCTGCTGTGTCAAACTTCTCGATACCTACCTTGGGAGAAAATTTAGTGGATACGTTAACATTTGCATGGCATATTTCTTGTGCCATGAAAAAAGTCAAGTGAAGAGGTGAAGAAACTTGTCCCTAAGTCACAATGGCAACTGTAGACTGAGGGGGAACCCCCATCCTCACTCCCTGAACTCCTTGTCATTTCACAACTGGAGAAAAGCGTAGCCAACGGGCAGTTAGACGAATGACAAACCCGCACAGCCATCTGGCTTCAACCGCTTGAACTAAAGCTGCTTCCTACAGTCAGGAGCAGAATCACACCCATCTCCTCTCAGGCGCAAGCCCTGAGAGCCGCCTAACAGGCATCCACTGGTGATACACTATACCCCATGATCTCTCCACAGGGTTAGGCAGAAAGTAGTATCCACGTACCTATCATGGCAACATCTAAATGCAAGTATCAGAACGCTTTGCAGACAAAAAGATCTTTGCCCCAGGCTGTTTCAAATTTGCATGTTCCTGTGTAGCACTGAAGATAGCCGCAATGGTGATTCATTAAGATAATGATTTAAGTAGGAGGCTTAAGAAAGTCAGGGTGGATTAACATCCAAAGGGCTGCAGTTGGAGCTTCTCCACTCCAGGCTGCCACCACCCCTTTTAAGGGAAGGGACGAATTCCAAAAGTCAGGAGAATTATGAATTAACTGCAACTATATCACAACTACAACACATTAAAGCACAAGAGCACCATCTCTACTCTAGGCCATCCTCCCTGGCAAGATCAAGCACAATATTTTATGCTGCAGGAAAATTTTCATGGCATTATAAGTCATTGGCTATTCCTTTATTTGATTAGTTTCTTAGCGTAGGTTCTCCTTAGAAAAAGATTGTGCAAATTTCTTTTAATTTTCTGTCCACCTTAGAAACAATACAAGTTTTCCTCCGACCGATTGTCTTTCGCCACTATTGAATAATCGGATGGGTTTGATAAATTGATTGCTCCCCACATAATAATGTAAACATACATATTGATAAAAAGCACACAAGTCCTTTTCACACCCCAACATTTAATCAAATTGTAATAAGTTACGAGTTGAAACATGCATTCTGTCCATAATACAGGGTTAATGCTCAGACAGTAACGGGCAGCTCATACTTCATCTCTGCTGCTAAAAAAAAAAAAAAAAAAAAAAAAAAAAAAAAGAGGCCTTTGTACTGTGATTTTGATATAATACTTCGGTTGTCTGGGCATCTCTAGAAGGCAGCAATTTTGCTATGCTTCTGCTCACTTGTAATAGTCGCAATAGGGCATCCCGGTGTATATTGCCCCACTCACCGCTAGCTGTGCTTGGTCTGAACGTCTTCTAGGCACTCTATCCCATGCTGATTCAGTACAGAATAGCTTCCTAGAATGCAATTATAGAAAGAGTAAGGGTTTGTCTTAAAAATGGATTATTCCAGAACAGCTATTCCTTATTAACTATTCCCAATCGCTTCTTTGTTAGGATGATGAAGTTAATTGGGAATAGCTCTTCCACTCAGATTTGTAACTTACCTTGGTCTGAATCAATGACCCTGTTTAGATGAACCCCTAGCACAGCGTCATACAATCATAGCAATAGCTTCATCAATAAAAAGAGACTCGTAGTTGCAATGAAAGTAGAGCTGCTGCACGGACATATCTCAGCCAAGTTTGTTGTAAGCTGTGCAGATAACAGGATCAAGAAATACGTAAAAAAATATTTGTTCCTCTAATGTTAGATCTCATCAGTACTGCATGTGACATTTTGTACTTCACAAGTTTCTGGATCTGCTTTGTTCAAACTTGGTTTATTCCTTAGATATATGGAGACCTTAACAGCAGGGAAATTTTGAGTTCTGTAGCTTCTTTGTTTATTAAGTTCTTAGCTTGCAAGATTTCTCATCCAAAAAGGGCTGAGAAAGTACCTGGCACATCTTGGATGCTTATTGAATACATTAAATAAATCAAACGTTTTATGATAAAATTCCACTCCCCCACACCAAACAGATGTAGGTACAAGTCAAAGAGGCTTGAAAAATTGCACTAAAATTGATTTTGCTCCAGTTTTCCCCAAAGGAAAAAAAATTGTGTGGGGGTTGAGACAAAAACATGGAAAATTTCAGCTATCACGAACAACTGAAAAGAGAAATGGAAGAAAGACAGAAGCCAAAACTGAACTTCACATTCAGAGTGCATAATTTATATTCTCTACAGTGTTCTATACTACGGGCATTCTTGGACTTACACGTAAAGTAGAAGTCTTTCCCTTGGGCTCACCACACTTCTAGAGAAAAATGCCAGATAGCTTAATGCTGGAGTCTGCTAGCCTCCTCAGGGGAAATCACAGACCACAGAGAAGGTTCTTCGGTTGATTTCAGATTCTGAGAGGCTAGAAAAGATAGCACCCAACATAGCTGAGGATCTTTGTCACAAAACCGAGGGGACAGTTACTTATAGACACTTATCAAGTCCTGCAGCACAAAACTCTCAGAAAAATCTTGAACACTTACAATATATAGAAAGCCACCTCATGTTGCACATGTTATAGGGAGGGAACAGAAACAAAACATACTCTGTTAAGGTTGCTTCTAGGCTGTTGGAGTATGACTTGATCTGATATATCTGACTGTTAAACATCACCATCTGCATGATTTTCCACGCCTGAGGTCTGTGCCCAGGTCGTAGAGTTCTGGTGAGGGGCATGGGGCAGAAAGTTTCAGTGGATATAGTTTAGTCACTTCCAAGGACGGTACTGGCATCTCAAAGGAGCTCTCTGACAGACAGCACAGAACTCAGTATTTTGGGGCAGCATGCAATTGCCAGACCCACAAGACCGTTTCTTGTGTCCCTGCGACTCCTTATTCACACCACACCTCCCACATTCACACTGACAAAGCTGGTCCATCCCATACACAGAGTGAATCAGGGATCTTGGGTCAAAAAACAGCAGGTGATCCAGCTTGCCATTACTTGATCACAGTATCTGTGTAACCATCAGTCTCCCTTTGCATATAGGCAATCTTAGTCCATGTATATAATATTTTATAACCAACCTTTACGGGTTCTTTTCCCCATAGGAAAGAAAGTTAAGAGAGACAAGACAGAAAGGGGAAAGGGCAATTATAAATACATGCAAGTCAAATAAGGCAAGGAAAAAAAAAAAAGACACTGAAACCACTTCCAGTCTCTCTCTCCAACAAATTCCACACTCTCGTGGTCTCTGGCACCACTTCACAGTAACCCCAGGAGATGTTCACCTGCTCCCACAGCACTAAGAAACAAACAGTGAAACAGGAAAACAGGAACAAAGAAGCTCCCACCTAGGATGACCAGCGTAATCCCCTGACGGTGCATCACGAAGGGAAAACCTTATCATTAAAGCAGAAAGAAAACAAACACATGCACACACACACAGCTCTACTGCTGTGCACTATTAGCATCTTCCCCATTTTCTATACACATCTAATATCAGGAGATTTATATTCAGGCCAAAAGCTCATGCTGGCAGGAGAGGAAAGTACTTTGGAAAAGGGGGGGGACGGCAGGGAGGGGAGGGGGGAAGAAAAAGCCTATGGTTTCTTGGCTTGTGATCAGCAGGCTGGATGCATTCTGTGGAACTAGGCCAAAGTGTTAGTTATTATATTCAAGAGAACATCTGAATCCCAGCTCAAGGGAGCCGAGTTTGCGGCTCTCATTTATGCTGTATATCAATTGAATATCAAACCACATTTTCCGCCTTCTGAATAATAAAGCTTAATAGTTTGGGACTCCCATATGGTCTATTGTTAAAATATTTCCAAACACTGGCTGCTGTTTTATTTCTGAAGGAAAGATTTCTCTTTCCTCTTCAAGCTTTACTTGTTTAAAAGATGCTTGTAGCAAAGCTAAATATATTCATCTTTTAAATATTTCCAGAGTTTTAAGAAGGGCTGAAAAATGAGGGGATAAGGAAAAGCAAATACATTTTGAAATTGGCTTTTTTTTTTTTAATGTCACATGCAAATGTTTGTTCCAGGCAGAAGCAGCTGGTGCCACCAGGCTCTGCTGTTCAGAACAGGGGGTGCAGAAGCTTTCAGAAACCATGAGCTGCTCTAACAAAGGAGGACCACACAGACTCAAACCATTCACAAAAGGACCCAGGCCGATTATTTGACTATTACTTACAAGGAAGCTTGGCCAGTAACGTAGGCAATAAATACTGGAGAAACCTGTTCTGTGCATAACTCGGGTTTGTCTTTTCACAAGTCCTTCTCTCTAATTAGCTACTTATTCCTGGAGGGCATTGCTGATGGATGGAGTGTATCAATTTGGTAGATTTAAAAAAAAAAGTTAAGAAACTTGTTAAATAATAAAAGCATCAGCATAATAAACATTCTGCAGTGTGTTAGGAACAGTCACTAGTGCTCCTTCCCAGTCAAACCAGAAAAGAGTATTCCTGTTCTTTCTACGTTGCAGAAAAAGGCTTGGTGGCAGGGAGATTCTCTGGCTTGCAAGGGCTGCAGCGCCCTGCTCAGAGCCCGAATGGGAACTGAGAAACGCTCATCTTTTGGTCCCTGCATTCAACCCCGTTAGGTTAGCATGGAAGGACTCAACTGCTCAGCGAGCAGAAGCGAAACCACGCAGCACTGCCTAGTTGTGCACTGGTGTGAACTTCCAGCTCCACCTCACCCGGCTCTTGCCCTCTCTGTGAAGTGCTTCCAGCTCACCCTGACAGGAGCGCTCAGTGCGGCACCAGCTTGCACGTCTGCCGGTCACTCAGCAACGCAGAAGGTGCTGAGCTAGGCACAGTCAATAGCATAACACAGCACAAAAATGTAGCTGTTCCTACAGCCCAGGGAGCCCAGTAGAAACTTCTGCTCTCCTTTCCTTACTCTTCTGTTCTAGCCCTCATTGCTGCTTCTCATTTCTGTCTCCTACTTCCCTCCTTCTGCCTGGGTGATCCCCTCCATCACCTATCTGCCCCACCGTCACCTGCTCTGCTCCAGTGTACAGGTTTTCAGAGTCAGCTGTCCTAACCCTGAAACTGGTTGCTCACACTCATCAGCTGCCTTCTCCCCCGACAGGAAGAAATTCCAGTATTTCAACATTTGCTCTCATCCCAATTCAGGGAAAAAAACATGAAATTAGAGACTCTCTATAGAACGGAAGTTCACAAGTTTAAAAAAAAAAAAAAAGAAAAAAAGAAAAAAGAAACCTATTTGCGAACACCAGTGCATTTTGTGTCATTTGAAATGGAATATTTTTACATTACTGAAACCACAGTTGGTTCATTTTGGTTTGGTGACCTGACCTGAGAAATTTTGTTCTGAGTCAGTACACTATTGAACTGATTTTATTCCCACAACATTGCATTGACTCAGACACTGCAGTTTGGCAGCCTGATAACCCTGGTCTCGCTTCTGGGTCAGACTCCCTGGCTGCAAGGCAGTTCCCATAGCACACACCGAGGTGCCCCATGGCTCAGCACGGTCTCCAGAAGAGCTGTAGTGCCATACGGGAAGGCCAAGGCCCTTGGAGTCCAGCAGAAGAGAACGGGTACGTCAGCCAACAGCTCTCTGAGCAGTCGAGGACTGCCTGGAATCAAACACAATGTTTTCAACCAATTCTGAGTGAAGCCTTTCAGACCAGTTAAAGAAAAGCAAAGCAAAGAGGTATTCCCATTCAGGTAATGTAGACAGGTTAATGTAATATTTCTGGTAAAAAGCTAGTTTATTAATTTTAAAGGTGATCAGAAATCCAGAATTGGGCTTTTCTAGAAAAAAAAAAAAAAAGTCTATTTTAAAGAAACTCTATTTTTCCCTGAAAAAGCCAGTCCAAAGAAAAACTCAAATCAGTCTCCTACTGGCCACTGCAACATTCTTACAAACTGTCTTAAAAAATAATACAGTGAACGAAGCTCATTCTTGCAGAAATTTCCCCAGCAGGGAACTTAAATTATAGCAATATCAGCACCCCTCTGCCTCCTACACAGCTCCTGCTGTGACCCAAGGACTGTAGGATTAAGTTCATCAACCGAGCAAAACGACTAGTTTAGAGTCTGACAAGTATTGAACTAGAGGCTTTGCAACAGATGTCTGGATGGCCGATCCCTTGCTGCTTCTAGCCAAGGCACGGACACGGCTTTTACAATAGCTGGATAGAAACAAGTGCTGGTGGAGCTGGTGAAGGCTCCGAGTTCTACCCCAACCATTAGGGGTACCACCAACTCATGCTCAACAAACAGCTCTTAAAACAACAAATGGAGAGGATTCGGTGGGAGGATTAGTATGTATTCACAGAAAGCTATTTGGTTAGTTTTCCTGTCGGCTCTATAATGCTTCTCTTGTAACGTGTATTCTTACCCGTAGGTCTGTGTATCTGGGAGAAGGTAGAGTGCATGTGCCT